CCCCAAAACCCCAAAACCCCAAAACCCCTTAGGATCAAATCAAATATATTTATCAATTTATCAGAAAAATTTATGTTTTTTATTCAATTATTTTGACATCTTAATTTGATCAAAGTCCAAGTAATAGCAGTTAGTATTTTCATAATGATCCTTACCCTCAGGAGTGGCACGACCACATTAATAGCAAAACTCATTTTTACATTAATAGCATTTAAGTAGGTTGCAAGCATCGATTCTAGTAATCAAAGTTCTACACTCAGGGCAATGAATGCAATCTTTAAGAACATCAGCCACAATATCATACTTTACTTCATGCTTATTCTGAATATTATCAGGAATTTCAGCACCGAGAATATCACCGCATTAAGGTGACTCTGAAAAATGACTATAACCAGAAATCTACTTGACACACATCCAGCAGAAGAAGATCCCGCATCTAGAACAAATCATCTTATTACAGCCATCTACTTTTTAAATGGTGAATTTACAATTCGGGCATTGCTTTGTACACTACTTGATATAGTGCAAATTCATCTATTCTTGTATTTGGTTAAACTGATTCTTCACAAAATTATCGATTTAAGCATCCTTTTCCAATTAATCATAATTAGTATTATGGATTTTAAGAGCTGGACATTACTTAAAAAAGTGATACTTCTCTCTGCAGGTAATGCAAAAGACAAATCGGCATTGGGTGCATTATCCAAAGTTCTTGACTTTATCTACCTCTGCAGGGGCTCCACAGGCTGTGACCGGACACCAACCGAAATCATCCATCTTTTCTATTGCTTAATTGATTGAAAATTTGGTTAGTTTCTCTATCTAATCTTCTGGTATATTGATACTCCTCAAATTGACTTCGGTAAGGAAGGTCTTGCAACCAGAATAATGAGGGCATAATAGCTTTGAAATTTCACCTTAGTTTATTAAATCCTCTGCATATTGATGCATACAAGACTTACAAAAATAGTGTCCACAAGCATTGAGAATGAGGAAATTATCATGACCTACTAAAAGTTGATAGCATATTTCACAGTTTGTTTCTTCAATATCAAGTGTATACTTGATTGTGTCAATCATTTCTTCTTTGTATTGCTGGTACTAAATTGAATCAACAATCAATTCCTTCTTGTCATTCAATAGGTCTATAATTATATCTTATTGGCAATAGGTAAACCATTCGTAGAGTATCAATTGATCTTCACTCCACTTTGAATTAAGTATTTCTTCTATTTTACTCATGAATTTCTCATAAAAACCTTCTATCATGATAATAGCTGGCTAGGATGAGGGGTATGCTCTTTTTAGCTTTATTTTAAGAGTGATTTTAGGTAATTACTCTATCTATTCTTGTTTAACTTAGAAGCCTTTACTGTGAAGCACATTCATATTTATAGGACTGCCAAATTTCTGTGGCTTGATATGTAATTCTAACATTTTGAAAGCTACACCATTTTCTATATCCTCAGTTACCTTCATTTCCTTTTCATTAAGTGTCATTGTAAGAGCTTCTAACTCCATATTTTACATTTCGATATTAGACAATATTTGATCTTCAGATAAATCAATTTGCTCGTCTGGGGGATTATCCAAATCACCTTCCATTTCTACTTATTATTGACTTTCAATTAATTAAAACCTTAAATATTTCTCTTTTCCAATCAAAAGTTCTTTTGATACTCAAATGGGGTTTTGGGGTTTTGGGG